ATCTGAAGTTGCACAGTTCACTCAACCCTCTACCAGTGGTGCTCAATCTACAAATGCTAAAACATGTCCAACCATTCGTTTCATTTATCTCCAACGATTCATTAATCGTCCAAAGATTCATTTATCTACCAACTTCAAAAAGGCAATTATATATTCAATTCGACTGTATGTTTTTTTTTATGTGTGTTACCTTATTACTTTTTCTGGGTGAACTGATTTCGATGATTCTTTTATTTTTTATTTGAAAGCTGGTGCTTCTCATGTGGTCCCATATAAATTTGATAAAGGTCTGACCAATAGTTTTTGAGTTATTTAGAATTTTCCTTAATAATTTATATTGAAGTCGGTTGTACAAAATTTTAATTATTTCCAAATGGCGAATCGACGACACCAGATCACTTCCAATTACGAATTCAATTGCTGAAATGATAGCAATAGATAATCGCTTTAATCGGCTCATGCAGTTGGTAAAGCCTAAATATCAAATACCGAGACGAAAATATATAGATGAAACAGTGATTCCACAACTGTTTGAAAAATTTAAAAGTACTATTCAAGGTGAGCTAGATAGCTCAAAATGCCAAATGTCAAAATGTCTACCGGCCACATCTGACATGTAGACAAACATGTTCGTACCTTTCAATACAGTGGACACTTAGAGTACCACTTTAACGAATGTTCGGTGGTTTCGCCGAATATTCGGTAAAGGTGCCGAATATGCCGAATAGCGAATATGAAACGAATATTCAGCCCATCTCTAGTGATAAGAAAAAAATGTGATTTGTAAGATGATACTGTGACCAGGATTAAGAAAGGATTTTCGGTGGCTTGGTCATGTAGAAAAATAGAATGAGGTAAGAGTGACAAAGCAAATTTATGTTGCAGAAGTGAACGGCAGAGTCGGCAAGGAACTCCCTAGACGGAAGTACATATATCGATCAAATTGGTGATATATTGAAGATGGGCAAAATGAAGAGCACCCATGTATGTGTAGGTATATTGTAATGAAGGAGGCGTGGGAGGTGTGTCAGGATCGTGCCAAATGAAAGCCCGTAGTCTCTGCCTACCCCTCTGGGTGATAGGCGTGAGTGTTGTGTATGTTTAAATAATGCTTTAGCATCGTACAAGTTCAAGTGTCAATAAAGACAAACTTTTTCCGTCTCATGGGTAAAAGAACTATAGGAATATCAGAAAATGTTCCGGCTCCCAAATGAAGGAGAAATACCATCTTATTTACGCCAGGATAGAATATCCAGACCAGCGTCATATTGCAATATGTCTGGTATTGCGGATGTCAATCCTTTCTGCGAAGTGTGACGCTTGAGGCTAATCCTGCTCACGATGGGACCTCTGTGGGTCCGTGGGTAACCCTGATAGTAAAAAGTTGCAAGTTGCGTTGCGCACTGGAATTAGTTCCTATTGGCGTGTTTTACTTTCAATAACACGACAAAACGTGGGAGATTTTTTCTACCACTTTGACAACATTTTCATATTAATATTTATTTTTGATGAATGTATTACGTAAAAATATAAGTTCAAAAGTATTACTTACACGTGAAATGTAATGTTATTATGTTTCTTGTGTTTCTATGATGTACTGTGACATCCGTTCACTGCACAAACCGTCATTTTTAATTAAAATTTCGCGAACTGTTGTCAACACGACACGACTTTGAGCACTAACGGGCCGAGTATTGAACTAAGCCATACTGTCTTAGTTTGAGTTGCCTCGCATTACGGACGCGGACTCGACTTCTAGGTGTTATTATTCTAAGGCTCTCACAGAATATCAGCCTAAAATAGCAGCTTAATGCTGCTGTGTTTCGTATGGTGAGTGTAGAGAACCGGAGACCCTTTTTACTGGAAACGAGGCATTCCATCTTAGTCCTCACAGGTGACAACGCATCTGCATTTTGATTCGTAATCGAGGATAAATGTAGATGTCTATGGGCCACAGCAACCACTTACCATCAGGTGGATTGTGTGCTTGTTTGTCACCCTTATCCTATAAAAAAATTAATATTACCGGTGTATTTAACTATCATACCTTTATATTTGATATAGTCGTTTTTAAATAAGATTATGCCATCAAAAACATAACTTGTAAAAAAACCAAGTCTCGCAACTCAGTTCTTCTACCGTAAAAAGTTGTGAGATCCATGTAATACCAAGTCGGTTAATTTATTCAGTCCCTCCTTAAGGGTCCAGGAGCCAGTCCAGACCTGGGCTTAAGTTATTACGTAATTACCTAACCTAACAACATCTTATAGTGACCACATCAATACATACTTGTTTGTTTAGTGCGATTGCCAAGTCAATTTATTTATTTAAAACACATGGATCTCACAACTTTTTACGGTAGAAGAACTGAGTTGCGAGACTTGGTTTTTTTACAAGTTATGTTTTTAATGGTATCTCATTTCTTTTTGTAGAAAGTCATATCTAGGTACCTATCTACACCTATTATTCCATTATATTATACATATATAGGTACACTGATTCATTCACTGCAAATGCATCTTTGTAATCCTATATATTTGTATGGGATTACAAAGTTATTTATGCAGTTGGTGTATCTCGAAAACTGGACCGAAATTGCAAAATATTTTAATTTTTCCTTGATTTATATACTAAAGAATATTTGTATTCCAAGTTTGAAGCTTCTATGTCTGCTAGAAGTGCCTTAGAGTTTTGATGATCGGTCAATCAGTGAGTGACAAAATTAAGAAACTTTGACAAGTTGTAATTCTTAAACGATTGGTTCAAATTTAATGAAATTTGAAATGTACTGAGTTGATACAATTCCTACTTGGTTACTGAAAATTCAGGCTTCTAATTTTATCCACAACGAAGTTATAGGGTTTCGAAAATGGCCTGAATTGCTTCGAGAAAAGGATGGTACGGCCGTGCCGCTTTTTTGCTCGACTTGGCGGGGGCACTACCGTGCCCTCAGAAAAACAATTAATTATTAAAACGATTACAGAGACATTAACTCTACTTCGCGGAGCGACTACGAGAATTCGACCGACGACATCTGCGATTATTAAGGACCTCACCGAAAAGCTTAGCGAGTTTTGGACGACGTCATTATATATGACGGCACCTGCACCGTTGTAGATGCGGTGGCGTCGGTCTAGCTAGACAGAATTCTTGTAAACAACACGTGTACCGCACACCTGCGGCATTGCACCTGCGTTGCCACCCGTCCTGCTTGTATAAAACGGACGGAGCGGCCGTCGTTAGGACAGTCTTGGCTCTGACGTGGAACGGTGCGCTTGTCGTATTCCGTTACTAGTTTATCCTCGACTTGTTGTATAATTAATTCGTGTAAACGAATTAATTATTATTCCTAACTACAAAATTAGTCTCTGTACTATACCCATTATACTTCCTACATATATATTTGCTGAGTGGGTGGACGAATACATCCATATCTCATCTTAAGGTCGCTGCGTACGTTATCTTCTATTCCGGACAGTGGGGAAATTCAAATTCAAATTTTGGAAATTCGTTTCATAGATAATGTACGTGAAAATGCATACGTTACGGATGCGCGGACGGCACGGGGACGTGGCGTGAACGGAACGAGAAAAATATCGTGCACAGCCGCTCCGCCAACTCTTCAAGCGAAACATCCACCTTTCACAACACTAGCACGTTAGCTTGGAGTCACTCACATTGCGTATGCATTATACTCCCGTCCGTGTGGAGATACAACCACGTTCCGTTTCCGTCCCGTGCACGCGCTGATTCCGTCGTGTATGCAGCCGACCTTTAATCTACAATTTTACTCACTCCGCACGTGACAATACTGACCTGTCGCGACTTCGTTCTCGCGCGTTTTGGCTACGGCTTCTCCAAATGAACTTATGTAAAGTGGAGCCGCTTCTCATAAAGATCCTTAATTTCTCGTACACCTCACACTTGAATGGTTTCAAGCCAGTGTGGATCTGAGATATTCGTTGATTTTTTTAAATAGCATAAAGGGGACAAACGACCACACAGTCCTTCTGATGGTAAGTGAATGCTGTGGCCCACTGACATCTATAAGAATCCTTATCCTCAATTGAGAAATAAAATGCAGATGCGTTGTCAACCCTGAGGAACGAGATGGAATGCTACACTCACCATACGAAACTGCTATGCTGCTGAATTCTGTAAGAGCGTGGTCCTACCCCGGTCGAGCCGATCCATTCGTGCTACAACCACAGTATAGCTGCAGCGTGGCTCTACCACGTACAGACAGACACCACCACACAGCATCATGTCGTGATATAGTTATGGTGCAGTGTGGTGATGGTGTAAGACAATCCACTACCCCATCTCGTCCCGCGGGTGTCGTAAGAGGCGGCAGAGGGAAACGAACTAAAAGATGGACAACCGCGTCTCCCTGATTACAAGTCAAAATAATAAAAAACCGCGGTTGCCAACCCACCAGCATGGCAACTATGACAAATATGACGCAAGCCACGGGGGAAGCCTATGTTCAACAGAGTAGTTTTAAAGGCTGTAACAGTAACGATAAACGTCGAAGTGAAGAAAGAAAAACGTAAACTATCATTTAAATTAAAAAAAAACATGAAGGTCTAGTCTGTTTCTACTAACCTCCATTCACACATACGGTATTTATTTTAAGGTACCATTTTTTTGCTTTCTACCGACTTCAAAAAGGAGGTACTCAATTCGACTGTATGTTCTTTTTTATGTCTATTACGTCTTAACTTATTCTGCATGAACCGATTTCGATAATTCTTTTTTTATTTGAAAGCTGGTGCTTCACATGTGATCCCATATAAATTTGATCAAGGTCTGACCAATAGGTTTTGAATTATTCTGAATAGTTTATATTGAATTCAGTTGTACTAAATTTTAAATTAGATATTGAATTAACTTCTTCAGAATAAATGCAGTTTCAATTTGCACATAAGGCGCGGAAAGGTTTTACTACTCGTTATATATTAATTACATCACAAATTCACAAAAAAATACTTAGATTTTTATCTAGTACACACATATTTATATAAAACAAGTTTACACAATATTGTACATATTTTACCAGATAGCTCACGAAAAAGGTTTTGCTCCAGTGTGTGTTTTTAAATGTATTTGCAAATTAGCTTTTGTAATACATCTGTATTCACAGATATTACAAGAAAAAGGTTTTTCACCGGTGTGTATTTTAATATGTCTTTCCAAATTACTTTTTGTGGTAGATCTATATTCACAGATATGACACGACACAGGTTTTTCACCGGTGTGTATTCTCATATGTCTTTGGAAATTACTTTTTGTAGTACATCTAAATTCACAAATATGACACGACAAAGGTTTTTCACCGGTATGTATTTTGATATGTTTTTGCAAACTACTTTTTGTAATACATCTATATTCACAGATATTACATGAAAAAAGTTTTTCACCGGTATGTATTTTCATATGTTTTTGCAAATTACTTTTTGTAATACATCTATATTCACAGATATTACAAGAAAAAGGTTTTTCACCGGTGTGTATTTTCATATGTCTTTCCAAATTACTTTTTGTGGTAGATCTATATTCACAGATATGACACGACACAGGTTTTTCACCGGTGTGTATTCTCATATGTCTTTGGAAATTACTTTTTGTAGTACATCTAAATTCACAAATATGACACGACAAAGGTTTTTCACCGGTATGTATTTTGATATGTTTTTGCAAACTACTTTTTGTAATACATCTATATTCACAGATATTACACGAAAAAGGTTTTTCACCGGTGTGTATTTTTATATGGGTTTCCAAATCACATTTTCTAATAAATCTATGTTCACAGATATTACACGAAAAAGGTTTTTCTCCAGTATGTATTTTCATATGTGTTTGCAAATCTCTATTTCTAATACATCTATATTCACAGATATTACACGAAAAAGATTTTTCTCCAGTATGTATTTTCATATGAGTTTGCAAATCACTTTTTCTAATACATCTATATTCACAGATATTACACGAAAAAGGTTTTTCTCCAGTATGTACTTTTATATGAGTTTGCAAATCACTTTTTTTAATACATTTATATTCACAATTATTACAACAGTACATTTGTTTAGCGACGTGCGCTTTAAGATGTGCCAAAATATAACGTTTTTGAGATGTTTTAAATTCGCACATATCACAATTAAATATTTCTGTTTGTTGTGGTACTGCAGTTTGTTCAACTTGTGTCCGAACAGCAGTGGTGTCTGAGTTCTTTTGCGTCTTATGACTGTATGAAATATGATGGGCGAGAATGTCTTTTGTTGATGTCCCAGATGTTTCATTCTTAAGTATATTTACACTCTTTTGTTTTAAAATTTTCTTTTTCATTATTTTTGCAGGATGCTTTCCTTTTTTATTAATTGGTTGATTATATTTTTTCATTTTAGGGTTTGATTTAATAGTAGGGCCTTCAAAATCGAGGTTTTCTTCACGAACATCGTTTATGTTACAATCAGTAGAATTTGATTTAATCTTCTTCTCAGAAGTTTCTGAAAAATTATTTGTCGAATTTAAACTTTATTTACTGTAAGTTATTGCATCTTTATTGCAAGACACCTTAAACGGTTTACAATGGGCGAAGTTTATGCCTTATGGCATTCTCTATCAGTTAACCCAGGTAGAAATAAAGAAATTATAGTATTTTACATAATAATACTAAGTAATGTTGCTAGATATAAAGTGTTTTAGCCAATTACTCCGAATAATGTCTCTCATATTCAGTTTTGGAGAGAAAGAATGATTCTTCTGACCATGTTATAATTACATTAATCTAATAATCGCTGTTTCGAATTCCACACAGAACTAGTGTTATACACACAGTACAGTCGAAGTTGGCGTGGAAGTGCAGCATAAGAGAATTCATCATCACATTTTATCCCATGGGTTTCGTAAGAGGCGACTATGGGTTAAATCTGATGGCTATCGACAGATGCCGGTATAACCACCTCGTTTACTTCAGATGTAAAATATCCAGACCAGTGCCAGGCGACATTGCCAGAGGTGCTCACGTCTGATTCTGCGATCGTCAATCCTATGCCAAGTGTGACGACTGAGGCTTATTTTCCTTATATCGGGAGAGATCCTTCCATGTTCAGCTGTGGAAGTTTACGGGAAGATTATTTATTTATTTCATTTATTCAGAAAATCAACAGCGTATATAGTAAATATTAACATTAATGTAACAAACTAGAAGTATGGCCAATAACAGGTTTCCCTTATATTGGCAGGTATATTGTAGTTGGAGGAAAATCAAAGAAGTACAGTCTAATAGATAAATTATAAATAAATAAATAAATATTTTATTTGCAAGAAACGTGGTAACATGAGGTGGTGAATAAGTATAATGTAGCCGAACACATTTCACCGTTTGTGGTATGCTAATTATTATCATACACAAAGTCAACGAATTAATTAATTTCCAGTATACAATAAAAAACAATTATTACCAGTGAATCATCATGTCAAAATTAAATTAAATAGAAATTACAATTTACAAAAATACCAAAACTTAAACATTATTTCATACGTTATGCCAAAATTTTAAAAGCATTGTCTACTTGTGTGCAAAGAAGTCTTTCTGTATAAAAGAGAGCCATTTTTCTAGGTCAGTTTTCATTATCATTGTTGGTAACTCTCTAATCTCTTTAGGTACCTTATTAAAAACTTTTATATACATGTAACAATTTTTTTGAAATAAAGCTGTCCTGCAGGCAGGCATTAACAATCTAGTTGGGTCCCTTTTACCTATAATAGAATTGTCTCGAGCGCTATGAAAAAATAACTGATTTCTTTTGACAAATATACACACCTCTAATATATATATAATCCAGTCAGCGTTAGGAAATTATTATTTTTAAATAAAAGTCTACATGATTCCAGGGGCCCAACGTTACATAGAGCTTGTATACATTTCTTTTGACTGATAAATGCTTTGTTTATGTCAGTCGAGTTTCCCCGTACCAACAGACCATATCTCAACACAGATTCGATGTATCCGTAATATGCAGTTAGCACAGCCTCTTTCCCAGCGACGCACTGTAACCTACGCAGTGCATATACAAATTGATTTAATTTGGTGCACACATTTTTCACATGTGACTTCCAGTTACAATGGTGAACAACATGTAGACCTAAAAATTTTGTTTCTGTGACCTGTTCTAAATTTTCATTATTAAATGACATATTTAGTTTTTCAGTAAGTGTGTTGTAATTCGAAAACGTAATGAATTTTGTTTTTGAGACATTCGCACGCAGATTATTAGTTTCTAGCCAGGTCATTATAGATGCTACACAAGAATTTAACGTTATTTCGAAGTCACTTACGGTAACCTCTTTATTTAGTTTTGGTATGACGATGGAAATGTCGTCGGCAAAAAGTACAGACTGATAATGATACTGACATGTCGTAAAACATGGTAACTACTGGTACTTTTTTGTTGATATCATATCAATAATCAGTTACTCTATGCATTAACCTTTTGACCACCAAAGTCGCCTATACTTGACCAGCACCTGCGGGCCCTGAGCGCCAACGACGTCTATGGTTGACAAAAAAACCCGGCCCACAAAAATATGAAATATAGATATTGGAAAATTATTACTGGTATTTTAATTCCACACTCCTCAAAAAAGAATAACCCCAGCAACATGTGAGTATAAAAAACAAGTCTCCTAGAGCCACAAGTACTAAGAAACATTGATTTTAAAAATATGGATTTTTATCTAAGCAAATACTATGTCCAGCACGCCAAAGTCGTCTATAGTTGACCGCTAGTGCCGTGCGCGGGAGGCATAGCTTTCTTGAAAACTAGCCAAAAGTCAGCTCAAACGTGTTATTTTTTTAACTATTATTATTGATATTTGAATGAAACAAAAGGTTAGAAACATAAAACTATAATTAGCTACATGAATAAAAAAATATTATCAAATCATCTTCGCATAATAAATCTAATATCTCAACTCTGGCGAATCCTTAGCGCATCATCGAAAATCAGTTCACTGGGTGCCGTGGTCAAGAATAGACGACACCCTGATGACGTCATAAGTTATTAGCGGGAAAAGTAGTGCAGTGCAACATGAACGATTCTGACTGATTTACCTAGTGCGAATAATTATATACAATTATTAATTAGTGAATAATTATGTACCTTTTTTATTTTAATAATATAAAATTACAAATAATAAATGTGTTTTTTTTACTTAAGGTATGAAGAGCATTTTTTTTCAATTTTCAAAAAACAAAATTTTCAATCTCAAAATCATCTGGCAGCATCAGCGTCATATTGTCATAAAAGCGTTAGACTTTTCTTCTGTGCTTCACTTGGCCTACGCCTCCCCCGATACATAAAATATTTTGATTCGATGTCTGTATATTTTGGTTAGATCGATTTCGAAATCGATACACAACGTGCGACACGGCTACATCTCTAAGAAAGTTTCAAAAAGGAAGGTCAGTTACGCCGTTGTGATCCAGTCGTGACAGTGACGTCATCACGATGGAGAGTAGTGTTTACCCCTATTTTATTGATATTGTTTGCTTTTTATTTATGTACAAAGTACATATTATATAGAAAGAGTGGAAGACGAAGAGAAGAGTCATTTATTGCATAAAAAACCAACAAAAACAAGTTATTTTCTGTTATCGATATATCAACTCTTGGCAACACTATTATTTACGTAGGTATTTTTGTTTAATTTTCGCTTTGGCGTACAGGGCACGGTAATGCGTTTTTGGCGTGGCAGTCAAAAGGTTAAAGAAAATGCGGCATGTGTTGTGGATTTTCCATTTTGAAATCCGTGCTGTTCTTTACGGAGAATATTATATTTTGGCAAGAAGTTGTAAATTCTACTATGCATCGCCTTCTCAAATATTTTCGAAAAAAAATAGTATTGGCGTAATAAATATATTAACATGTGTTTATTCTTTTTTATCTCTTTTTTTCTCTAACACACCAATTTGCCTTGGCCTTGTCATATTCGTGCAATCCTGTCCATTCCCATTGCATACTTCTTTTATATCATCATTACATCATCATCATCATCATCATTACAGCCTTTCACAAGTCCACTGCTGAACATACGCCTCCCCCAAAGAATGCCACAAAGCACGGTCCTGAGCCACCTGCATCCATCGACTTCCTGCATATCTTACCAGGTCGTCACTCCATCTAGTGGGGGGACGCCCTACACTTCGCCTGCCGGTACGAGGCTGCCACTCGAGAACCTTTCTTCCCCATCGGTTGTCGGTTCTTCGAGCTATATGGCCGGCCCATTGCCACTTCAGCTTACTAATCCGTTGGGCTATGTCGGTCACTCTAGTTCTACTGCGGATATCCTCATTTCTGAGTTTATCACGCAGAGAAACTCCGAGCATAGCCCTCTCCATAGCTCGCTGAGCGACCTTGAGCTTCCTCATCCGGCCAGCAGTGAAGGACCACGTCTCCGTTCCGTATGTCATCACTGGCAACACGCACTGGGTGTACAGTCTCGTTTTCAAGGTTTGAGGTATACCTGACGAGAAGATGTGCCGTAATTTCCCGAACGCTGCCCAACCGAGTTGAATCCGTCGATTGACCTCTCGGTCGAAGTTGGACTTACCTAGTCGGACTATTTGTCCCAGGTAAACATACTCGTCAACAACTTCGAGCTTAGTGTTCCCAACAACTACCGGCATAGGTGTGACATGGACATTAAACATGATCTTTGTTTTGTCCATGTTCATCTTAAGACCTATCCGTTGGGAAACACTATTGAGGTCATTGAGCATAGTGCTTAGGTCCTCCAGCGATTCTGCCATAAGGACTATATCGTCGGCAAATCGAAGGTGAGTGATGTACTCGCCATTGATGTTGATACCGTATCCTTTCCAGTCCAGAAGCTTGAAAACATCTTCCAATGCAGCGGTAAAGAGTTTCGGGGATATGACGTCACCCTGTTTTACACCTCTCTGCAATTGGATAGGTTTCGTACTCTGGTTCTGTACTCGGATAGCCATCGTAGCCCTACTGTACAAGCACTTCAACACTTCGATATACCGACAGTCAACTTGGCATCGCTGAAGGGACTGCAGCACCGCCCAAATTTCGACGGAATCAAAGGCTTTCTCATAGTCCACATACGCCAGACATAGTGGCAAATTGTACTCCTCGGACTTCTGTACAATTTGCCGAAGGGTATGTATGTGGTCTATGGTGCTAAAGCCTTTTCGGAAACCGGCTTGTTCGGGAGGCTGGAAGTCGTCAAGTCTGCGTGCGAGACGATTCGTAATGACTCTCGAAAACAGCACGTAGACGCGGCTCAGAAGGGAAATCGGTCTGTAGTTCTTCAAGAGAGCGTTGTCGCCTTTCTTGAAGAACAAGACCACCGCACTTCTGCTCCACGCCTCCGGTGTAATGCCACCATGGAGGACGGAATTAAAGAGCTTCTGAAGGACTTCAAGTACCGGTTTTCCACCCGCTTTCAGAAGCTCCGCTGTAATTCCATCCTCGCCTGGGGCCTTGCCGTTTTTAAGGTGCTGGAGAGCCATTCTAATCTCGCTCAGACTGACGTCCGGGATATCATCGGAATAATGTCGGATAAGACTCGCTCTTGGATCGTTACTCACACTTGCGTGCGGCTCCAACGATGACGTGTACAGCTGCCCATAGAACCTCTCAATCTCACTCAAAATCTCAGGTGCCCCGGAAACGATGCTGCCACATTCTGTCTTCAGCTTTGACAGTTGGCGCTTTCTGGCAGACAGATCTCTGGCAAAGACTTTGGAGCCTTGGTTCTGCTCGATCGCTTCTTCAATACGAGCTGTATTGAAGTTGCGTAAGTCCCGCCGCATGCATTTGGAGATCTGTCTGTTCAGTTGCCTGTATGCTGTTAAATCTGTTGAAGAATGTAGCTTCATCTCCCGTCTAACAGCCATGAGATTAAGAGTGTGATCGGAGAGTTTTTGTGTTCTTCTGCGGCGGGTCTTGCAGAGCTTAGCTCCGACCGCATGAACAGTTTCCACGAGCTTGTCATTCAAATCGTCCACTTCATTGCAGTCTTCTAGGCACTGAAAACGGTTTTGTAACTCGAGCTGAAAGGTTTCGGGACTTTGGATTAGAGCACGAGGGGGACGGAGCGTTGACTTCATTAGACGAGACCTCTCCAACTTAACGTTTAGGTTCAGTGTGCCTCTAACCATTCGGTGATCGCTGCCGGTTTTCAACCTCGCGATCACTGAGACATCACTGAACAGTTGTCGTCTGGTCGTCATAATGAAGTCAATCTCATTTTTTGTCGAACCGTCGGGGCTCGACCAGGTCCACTTCCTGTGGGGCCGCTTCTGGAAGAAAGAGTTCATCATAAAGAGTCCCTCTTTCTCCATGAAGTCGGCCAGCTGCTGGCCCCTTGGGTTCCGTTGCCCTATTCCAAATTTCCCTACTTTCAGCTCACCGTTCTCTCTTGTGCCTAGTTTTGCATTGAAGTCTCCCATTAACACCGTATATTGGGTTTTGGAGGAATGCATGGCTCTAGAGATATCCTCATACATTTCCTCCACCTCCTGATCGGGGTGTGCCGAGGTTGGTGCGTAAACCTGTATGACCTTCAGCGAATACCGTTTGGTGATTCTGAGTATAAGGTACGCAACCCTCGTCGACACACTCTCAATCTTTACAACGTTGTTAACGAGAGACTTGTGGACGATAAATCCTACACCTCCTTGGGACAGATGGTCGCCCTCCCGGTAATAGAGCAAGTTGCCGGATTCGAGGATTACCGTGTCCTCCCCCTCTCTTCGGACTTCGGATAATCCTATAATATGCCAGCGTAACTTGTCTATCTCTTCTTCCAGCTCCACAATCTTCTCGTCAGTCCTCAGGGTGCGTGCGTTGTATGTTGCCAGGTCGAGTCGTCGTAGGTGGCAACCGAACCTCCACCGGAGATTCTTAGCACCCCCTGCCCCGCCGTTACCATGGTCGCCACCGTAGCCAGGAATAGCGGGGCCGCCGGGGACTGGGGGCCGTTTATTATTGTCATTGCTCATGGGGGGTATATTGCCATAGTTGCCACGCTTGGCGAGCGGGTTGGCAACCGCAGTTTTTTTATTGTTATTTTGGCTATTATCAGGAAGATGCTGCTGCCCATCTCCTGCCTGTTTCCCTTTGTCGCCTTTTACGACACCCACGGGAAGATATGGGGTAGTGGATATTCTTAACCGCCACTACACGGCATCTTTTATATATATATATATATATAATTTCTGTAATTTATGTATGGTGTGCAATAAAGAGTATTAAATAAATAATCTATACTATAATATAATAAAGTGGAAGGGTTCTTTTTGTTTTTTGTTTGTTTAAACAGGCCAATCTCTGGAACTACCAGTCCGATTTGAAAAATGTATTTCTATATTATAGCCAGATTCATGAGGAGGAGGAATAGTATAAGAATAGTATAGCATTAGGCTACTTCTCTCAGATAACCTTAAATATTGATTTTTGCTAACCCGTCAAGCGCTAGGCCATTTTATTTTTTACGCCCCAAATGTCAGAGCCTGTATGTAAAAAACTTAACAATCCAAGCTAGACGCCGCGCAACAATGAAAAGACTTGCGTGAAAGTTAAAAAAAAAAACGCTATTCCACATTTATTCTTCTATTGGAAAACAGTGGAGAGAAATATAAATGGAACCGGAACCGTAATGAAAAATCGTATTCCTAAATACGAGGCGTGATCCAAAAGTAATGATAATAGGTTATTTCCAGTACACATAAAGATCCGAAAAAATTTTTTTTGCTTGCTTATGTACCCACTAGATCATAATTTAAAAAAAAATCATATAAATAGGCTACGATTCCCGAGAGGTACATTTATTTGAATACGAATCATCAAAGAGAACATCAAAATGAAGAAAAATTAAATGAGAGCTGAGGGAGCTGTTTAAATAAATGTCTAGCAAAGACATACACAGCGACTTAGTGAAACATTGAGGGACTCTGCTCCATCCGCAATAGCACGCCGGGCCAAGGAGGTTAAGCTGGGCTGCACATCGCCCATCCACATCCCTCACTGAAAAAAACGTGAAAAGAGTCGAACATGCCGTATTGGCAGATCGAAGAGTGGCCATCAGGCATATAACTGAGGTCACAGGGATTTCAAATGGCAGTGTTCAAAGAATCCTTGCGAACGAATTGCATATGAAAAGGGCCTCTGCGAATTGGGTACCGAGAATTTTAACCGACGAGAAAAAGAAAAAGTTAGTCATTTCGAGGGTGAAATTCGAAAGATTCCAAGGAGATCAGATTTTTTTATTACGTTTCGTGACCATGTGCGAGACCTGGATCTACTATTTCGATCCTGAAACCAAACAACAATCAATGGTTTGAAGCCGAGCCTCCTCCCGACTTCATGGAAATTCAGTGTCAAGTTCGGCGAGAAAGGTTATGGCGTCCGTTTTTGGGGACGCTGAAGGAATAATTATGGTGGAATAATTGGAAAAGAGGGCCATTATTTTTGGCTTATACTCTCGACTACGCAGGCCAAACAAGAAGATTGCAGGAGGCTATCAAAGAAAAAGACGCGGCAAATTGCGAGCTGGAGTGCTGTTTCAACAAGACAACGCTCCGGCTCACAAAACTGCAGTTGTGATGGCTGCCATTCTAGAAACGGGATTTGAATTGTTCGAACACCCGCCCTATTCGCCAGATCTAGCTCCCAGTGACTTCTATCTATTTCCTCAGCTCAAGGAACACCTTCGAGGCAAGAAATTTGTAGACGATAGTGAAGTGATGAACGCTGTTGAGGGTTTTTTGAGTGGCTAAGGCCCGTGCTTTGTGGCATTCCTAAAGAAATTGGCAAAGACAGGTTGCTTACCAGTTGTAACTATTGTATTATTAAGTCGTCATATGAAATTAATCCATCTTAGTGACATACATACTGGCTGCATTTATATATACAGGGTCAAAATATTTTCAAAATATATTAATACATTATTAAAAAAAATGTCTAATGAAGCTCATTATTTTACATTGACAATTATTTATTTATTTAAACTAACAACTATCATGAAATGAATAACCTAACGCGACAGTGTAGTTCTTTTCATGCATAACAAAAATGTGGTCACTAAGTGAAACAAATTGTAAACAATCTTACACTGGTGAATTCACTCAAGGTGCAACAGCATAGCTCAATGTCTTCAACCATTATATTAAGAACGCGTAACGTTCGCGTTAAAGGCCTTGTCGAGTAAATTGATACCCGTCTGGAACACACGGCCTAATCCGCCCTATTGTGTCACTATCATATTATTTTGTGTCCATGGGCTACAGTAACCACTTGCCATTAGGTAACTTATAGCTTATTTTAATAATATCACAAAATGTGCATATCTTACCTGTTTCATGATTCCAATTTACTTCAAATTTGGAATTCTCATATTCGAAATTATCTACCTCAACTTTAACAGATGCAAGGCTAAACATATCGTCCTTACAATCATTTTCTACATCACACTCGAATGGCATGATATCTATATGACTAATTGGTGTGAATTGAATCTTATCTTTAGCCTCGTGCGGTTTTGGTATTGACTGAAACCAAATTATTTTATTAAATAAGAGAAAAAGCCAGCGTAGTGGTGCTTTAGGAGAATCCATACTACCATACCATCCCGCAGATGTCGTAAAAAGGGACAGAGGGAAACTGAAACAGGAGATGGACAGCAGCATCTTCCTGACAACAACTCCAAATAATAATAAAAATCGGACAAAGTGAGTAAAAGCATTATATTGAAAGAAATGGGACTTGAAAAGGATTATTATAGTGGCGTGTAGATTGCTTCACAGCGTCCGAGACCGAGGTAAACTTGGACTCGCTAACCGATGTGTCCTAGACATATCATCTTAATGCCGGTGGTAAGCGGGTTTGTTGTAGCAATACGACTTGTCCGTGGACATCGCACCCCCGGTACCGTTTGTAGGCGGCGTCTTAGCGCATAGCGTTATGATACGTCGGCTATCTTTCGGATTAGGGTGAGTGTGTTTGGTAGTACTTTTAAGTGCAGCAAGCATACTCAACTTCATGTCTTAGTGCAATAGCGCTATGATACGTGGATTTTTAGTTAACAACATTTATCAGTTTTGTTACCAAAGTCGATAGGGATCATGTGGATGTAATGATTTCTTATATTTACGCGAAGACTACACATTAAATGAAACTAATTTTTACGTATTTTTTCGCGTTTAATTTAACTTTATACTTGCCGATGTTTCGGGTGCTTTTCAGCACCCGTGGTCACGGGAGGGACTGAGGTGTTTGACGTCCCGATATCATATTTAGCCCGGCTACCTTCAGTTTTTGAATATCAATTTTTGGTCCCATCCACGCAGAATGAGCTTATAGTATCTTGAAATCTTGCAGTGGTATGCTTGGGTTTTGGACCACGAGTGCAGAAAATCCCCCGAAACGTCGGGAAGTAAAAAGTTAAATTCAACGCGAAAAAATCCGTAAAAATTAGTTTCATTTAATGTGTAGTCTTCGCGTAAATACAAGAAATCATTATGTGAACCAGTTTGGACTGGTAATAGCCAGTACAATTCGCCGATTAGAAGATCTCAAGACCAAGCGCGCAAGATATATAACATCTTTAAATTTTTTGAAGGGATGCAAGACCATAATCTCATTCCTACGTGTGTCAAAATATCAACAAAAAAGGACATTCGAGGAAGCGCTAAGATCTTAAATCAGGCAAGTAAAAAGTTGTTACGATCGGTGATTCAGCAAAAACGGTTCGATCTACAATTCATAAATAATAGCATATAATAATAGTCCATAGACAATTGGTCCAGTGAGTTAAAGACAGTTTTAACGACATTTGATTTTAATAATTGCATTGAAACTTTAAACAAACGCGAAACATCGAAATATAATGAATGCAAAAATCAAATCAAGTGCCAAACATCAATGTCAATGTAGAAAGGAAACGCAACCGTTGACTACAGACGCAAACAATAAACAACGCACGGTTTGTAATCTGCCAAAACAAACACTGGACGAACCTACAATAAAAGTATTGTCGAAAGGCTTGAATTTTGCAATAACACCGCAAAAATTCCCGTACGATGAAATTATCTGTAGTGTTGAGGGTTGTCTGTTTAAGAATAACATTGGTAAAGAAGATTTAGAAGCCATACGTCAAGCCATTTCGTCCTTGTTACGTCGAAGTTCAGCGCCGAAACTAAATCTCCCCAAAGACGAGATTAAAGCGTTGTACAACTTACGCAACAGACCAGAGCTCACGATTCTTCGCGCGGATAAAGGAAATGCTACGGTAATAATGGACACGTCAGAGTATAATTTCAAAATACAACAATTTTTATCGGACGTAAGTATATAGAAAAAGGTCAAAGTAGACCCTACAACTAATACACTTAAAACAACTACCGACTTAATAAAGAAATACTCCGAAAAATTTAATCTCGACGTGAATTCGACAATTCCATCATGTGCCAAACCACCGAGTTTGTATGGGTTATTGAAAATACACAAACCAAACGCTCCACTACGTCCCATAGTAAGCCAGATCGATTCACCAACTTATAAGTTGGCTCAACACTTGGCAAAAATATTGTCACCACTGAGAGGACACACCAGAGCACACACAAAGGATTCCTACAATTTTGTTCGAGAGATAAAAGACCTATATCTCACTGACAATGAAACTATGGTCAGTTTTGATATTCAGTCACTATTCACATGCTTACCTATTGAATACTGCATCTCAATTGTAACTAGGAAGCTAGAAGATAACATGCCTACAGAATATATAGTATTACTCAAAATACTGCCTTACATCTGGCTATCTATTGTGGAAGGAAGAGTTCTACAAGCAAGTAGATGATGTAGCGATGGGCTCGCCTGTATCTCCCGTAGCCGCCGATATATTCATGGAGGACTTTAAGGAGAAAGCCCTTCTTACTGCTCCTGTAAATCCGAGATTCTACAAGCGGTACGTAGACGATACTTTCACAATTTTACTATCTGACAAAGTAACTTCATTTTTAGACCACCTTAATTCCATAAACTCTAAAATACAATTCACAATGGAGTTAGAGGCAAACAATTCTTTAGCTTTCCTAGATGTTTTAGTCATTCGAAATCCTGATAACACTATTGGTCACAGGAATAGGAAAAATACCAGAAACAAAGATTTTCCCACGGTAGCTAACTGTAGATTACTACAGTTAGCTACCGTGGGAAAATCTTTGTTTCAGAGAGCACGAGGGATCTGTGACAGAAAACATCTGGCCGCCGAGCTTCAGCACGTCGAGCAAGTATTGCAAGACAACAAGCTTCGGGTCCCGCAGCTACGTCACAGTGACAGAGTGAATTCGGCCACAGTCGAACGTGTGCCTGCTGTACTACCATATGTCAGAGGTGTCACAGACAAGGTTAGCTACATCTTGAAGCGAGCTTCCATTAAAACGTACTACAAGCCGCCGAAGAAAATTAGTCAATTTTTACCATCCGTCAAGTGTCATATCCCTCTACAAGATGCAGGAGTGTAAAAGCTGGATTGTGAATGTGGTGTCTCTTACATAGGACAAACAAAAAGATCTATAAAAACTCGCGTGAAAGAACATATAGCTGACTTGAAGCACCGACGTTCCGGGAAGTCTGCACTGTGTGAACATGTTCAAGATCGTCCCAACCATTACATTAGATTTGATAGACCACAAATCCTCGCAAAAGAACACCGATTCCAACCAAGGATGATTCACGAGGCTATTGCAATTAAAAAACATCCTAATTTCAATAGAGAAGATGGATGGGTGATGCCATCTGCTTGGGATCCTATAATTAATAAAATTAAATCCAAACCCCAGCATACCACTGCAAGACTTCAAGATACTATAAGCTCATTCTGCATGGATGACATCGGGACGCGAAAAAATCCGTAAAAATTAGTTTAATTTAATCATGTGGGTGTGTTCTGAGGGAGCGCCATCCGTATGATAGTTGTATTGATGCTTACTGCTACTTGCGGTATTGCGTCTTGTGATGGATCTGCGGGTGTGCTGCGCCTGATTCGACGCATCTTGTGGTTCTGGTCGATGGAGGTATGCAGGTGGTCATGTCTGCTGGGACTGTATGGGGGACCTTGGGATGGTGTAAGCCGACGATAGTCGCATTGATGCTTGTTGCGTTTTGCAGTATTGCGTCTCTGCGATGGTTTGGCGGGTCGCTATTGTCAATGGCGCTGGTTGCGTCTTGGTTTAACTCACGACTTAAGTAGCTTTGCCCAAGTCGGGTCCCTTCATTACGGGGCTGCAGACTGTCTGACCTCCTAGGTGTTTTATATAACAACATAATAATATATCTCTATAAATTTCCCACCTTTGAATGATTGCAGGCAACTTGGTGGGTGAAAATAACATGATCAAAAAATTCATATACTCAACATCAGTGACACAAACCCTTTTTGATGGCGAATTATTACTATTATCTTATAACTGCCTATTGGCTATATCTGCCATTGTATTGGTTGGTGGAACATATGTGTCGACCCCCATTCCCTTAAGGTGAGCTGTAGACTCATGACACGCTCTGCGGCCAATTGGCCGTGCTGATCATGCAATTGGTGGTGATGCCTTACACTTACATCACATCTGCAGGAACGGCGGTCTGGCAGGTGGTGGCACTCACGGAGGGCTTTTTATGGCCAGTGTGCCTATTGTTCCCTTGAAACCCTTGTATCTGGTATTTGATATAAATATTGTGAGCCTTTTCCAAGCGGGAAGGTATTAATTAATAAGGAATTGATTGTTGTGAACCTGATACAAGTGGAACAGGGACAATTTATTGTTCTTAACTTTTTTTGATGTCTGTCTTCGTGGACGGGGTTCTTTAGCTTATGAGATGCTACCAACAGCTTTCGATTGCTCTCGAGAATATTCATTCCCCCAAGAGACACCTAAAAGAACTAAGTTACTATACAAACAAGGTAAATAAGGGTCCTAACTAAGACGATCACGCCATAAATTTATTAAACAGCCTATATTTAAACCTTTAGAAAGATCAATATATGGTTAATATACTGGTCATGTAAATTAGATATATTTATATATCTTATAGATATAAATTCTAGAGAAAGACAAAAATAAGTATAGAGATTGGGAGTGTTACACTATGAAGCAATCTATGAGGGCTTTTATAGATTTTAATGGATGGAACGGATATTCCTCCTGCAAAAAACATTCTGCCATATGGCAACGGGAACCAGCATAGAAGGCGCGAGACAGATAGTGATCATCAAGGTGCCTACCCAGTGATGATTAAGGCAAATACTTCATTATAATGGGAATGAATCATCAAGCAGTGGTGTAAGAATATCCACTAGCCTTACCTACCCACGGGACGGGTGTCGTAAGAGGTGACAGATGGAAAAAGAAGCAGGAGTTGGGCGGCAGCATCTTCCTCATAACAACCCAGACTAATATGAACTGCGGTTGCCAACCTGCCAAGAGTGGCAAATTTGGCAAAATCCTTCCTATATGAAGCAATCTATGAGGGGCTTTTATAGATTTTAATGGATAGAACGGATAATACCATGGACCCTCCAGCAAGCAACTGCTCCAGAACTGCATTTGACTCAATAGCCTGTTGTTGTAATGTTCTACAACGAATGAGTCTTGCATGACAGATGAAACAGACAAGTATGGGCTCCTCATCCTCTACCATCTGAAAATATGAAAGTTCGTCATAAATATGGAAAACTACTTAAATATACAAGTTTGTAATAAAATCTATTGGCTACCACAATTCTCTTCATCAGCATCATTTTTTATAACATTGAAGTGACAAATAAACTTACAATCCACCTGATGGTGAGTGGCTGCTGCAGCCCATAGGCATCAGCAACGAACTTCAAGCAAAGGCTACAGATGCGATATTACCTCTGAGGACTAAGATGTAATGCTTCACAGCCTGTTATTATACTGGCTCTCAATGTGCTTCACACCGGGACAAATACTGCTGCTGGTGACAGAAATAAGCAAGAGGATGATAATTATTCAGACTTCTAGGCAGAAAAAAGTTGTAGCACCTAGTGAATCATCGTCACTGCAACAACACAGTCCTAAGTCACCTACATCCATCGATTTCCAGTGTTGCCACATTAGCAGTGTCCAGTGGGGGGCCACTCAACAAATTGTTGCCAGTATGAGGCTTTCAAAATTTTTTTTTCTATATATTAGGTATACCAACAATTGCTAACACTAACACATCAAATTAGTACAATTACTTAAAAATATTAACAAAAGTGCTACAATTACTTAAAGGTAAACTCCGCATGCATATAACTTTATAAAAACGTAAACTGAAAAAACAATAATTTATTCCTCAACTAAAATTAAAAATATATCTATTAGTAAGAATAGTGCTACTTAAACTCAAAAAATGAAAATAAAAATGAAAATAATAAAAAAAATATCTACTTTACGCTATTAACTTATACATTTACGGAGACACTTAGAGAATATTCTGGGTGAATCAAAGTGAATGTCGATTTGATGGCTGTATCCATTAATAACTTTACAGAATCTGGCATATGGAGAATTTCTTCCCAATACAGTTCTTCTTAATGGTGAACTAAGTGGTGCAATAGAACTGCAGGGTACTCTCGAGGGTAGACGAAATTTAAAAAGTTCCATTAAACTTGGGCAATTAAATGTAGAACTAAATATTTTATGTATAAAAACTGCATCATTATACTTTCTGCGACTCTCTAAGGTTTCCACATTAAAAAGATGTAATTTGCTATTATAGGACCGTAGCTTTTTTGCTTTACCAATAGAAAATGCTAGATGCCAGAGGAACCGCTTTTGAACACGTTCAATATGTAATGAATGTGTAGCATAGTGTGGTCTCCAGACCACACTACAATATTCTAAAATATTATGAACTAGACTATTGTAAAGAAATATTTTAGTTTTGTAATGCATATTTTTTGAGTTCCTTATAACAACAAAGCCCAACATTTTAGATGCTCTCAAAATAATGTTATCCAAATGTGGTTACAAAAGTTAATTTTTTGTCGTATGTTACGCCAAGATCCCGAATAGTCGCTACTTCCTTAATTTTATTATTATAAATGATGTAACTGACATGTATTAAATTCTGTTTTTTGGAGTATTTAACATGATAACATTTACTTCAGCATAACTTGTTATTGCAGCACCACTGGATTAGTCTATCAATGTCACCTTGTAGCAATTTGGTGTCATCATCACTCTTAATTATTCTCATAAATTTTAAGTCATCGGCATATAAAAAATATTTTGAAAACATTCTTTAATATCAGTTATGAAAAAATTAAATAAAACTTGTTCCAAATGAGAACCCTGAGGAACACCGGAACTTATAGTTTTTGTATTTGATTGAAAACCATTAATTGCAACAAAGAAGGTCCTGTGCACTAAATACGAATTCAACTATTTGAGTAATGAGCCACAAATCCCTTAGGCACTCAACTTAGAAATCAAGATCTTATGCGAAACATTGTCAAAAGTTTTGCTAAAGTCAGTATAAATAACATTAGCCTGATGGCCCATGTCAATAGCCTCGAACAGGAACTCCATAAAGGGAACTAAATTCGTACTAGTTGACCGAGACCTGAAGAATCCATGCTGATGATCACTTATATAGAGGCCTAAATGTTGTTGAAAATGATTACAAATCAACGACTCAAATACTTTGGCAAAAGTTGACAGAATTGAAATGGGTCTATAATTGGAAATAATATCGATATTTGATGACTTATGTATGGGAAATACTTTTGCTATTTTCCATTTTGAAGGAAATACGCCAGAAGCTAAAGACTAGTTGTAAATTAATTTTAAAGGATATATCAATTCACAGGCACATTCTTTTATAAAAGTTGGTGGTATTTCATCTGGCCCTGCACCTTTATTACAATCTAGTCCTTCTAGTTTTTTTTAAATTGTATCATGTTCTATTTTTGGATTTGAGAGACGAGCTGTTATTTACTAGTGATTGTAAGTAATCGGACATGCATTCATCATAACTATCAATTAAATATTCAATATTCAATCTTACTAAACCTACTTTCAAATTTTAATTACTAGCATCACTATTAACATTACAAATACTTCTCTTATTTGCTCCAAGTAAACTGAAAATGCTTGTGCAATACAACAATAGACAAATGACAGATTTGAACTTAATACTTTCTTGAGTTTGCAGTTTACACCCTTAACTATTAGGGCACTGTCACTTAGTGTCAAATGGAAGTTAATAACAATATACATCCCCTAGCAGTTTTAACCTTTTAATTTAATATAAATTGCAGTATGAAGTAACTAACAGGTGGGTTTGGTCATCGAACAATTTGATTATTTTATCTCATACTGATATGGGCAGTAGCATTTTCTTCACAACAGGTCAGAATGATAAAAAAAAACTGCAGTTGCCAACCAGCCTGCTTAGCTTGGCAACTATGGCGAATAATAATAATAATAGCAGATATGATACTAAAAATATTAAATAGAATTTTTTATTCAATTTAGATCACATGTGTAACTCTTATTGAAAGTCATTTTTTTACTTTACCACTGGTTTGAGAAAAAACCTCTGTCCTAGGAAGAACCATCAAGAAACCCAGTGGGATTTTTTTAAAAGTAAATTTTACATCAATGGTTGTACAAACTATTTACAAAATTTTAGAAACTGCTTAGAAGTGACCACCTCATTCCTAGGAGCTATTTTCAACCATATATTCATTTATATTATAATAACCTTTTTTTATACAGTTTCAGCTTAACAAAACATTTAAACTTCGTAATAGAGAGCCTGTACACTTTCCGGGACCTTGTGGTAATAGTGTATATATTGCCCCAAGAATAATAACTCTGTGGAGTTGAGCAACTAGCATCACTAGCTTCTTTGTTCCTAGTGTTTACAGAGTGTATATCACATATTTTACTAAAACTACCTTTGTTTTTGTGAACATACATAAAATTTTCGTAAATATACTGAGGCCAAAGATAATATATTTATTTCTTTAAATGTATCTCTAAGAGACTCAATTTTAGGTTTTAAATAGCTCTATTGGCCCTCTTCTGTAAAATAAAAATAGATTCTGAATCAGCCGCTACTCCCCATGGCAAAATCCCATAAGACATTATGCTATGGAAATAACTGAAATAAACTAATCTAGCTGCCTCAATACTAGTAAGACCTCTGATCTTTTTTACAACATAGGCTGCAGAACTTAGTCTGCTTGCTTGTTTGGATATATGGGGGCTCTACTGAAGCTTTGCGACGAGAGTGATGCCAAGAAAAACAGTGGATTCAACAGGGCTCTGTTCTTCCCCATCTATAAACACATTGGTATTCAGATTGTTAACATTCAATTTCGTAAATTTAATACATTTAGTTTTATTTCCATTTAAATGCAGATTATTAACGTTAAACCAATGCAATAATTTTATATAAAACATGTATACAACCTATTTTGGAATATGCATATTTCAAATTATATTGAGGTCCTGGAGAAGCTTCAACACAGATATTCAAGTTTCTAGCACATTTTTATCAGGCAAGTTATAATGTATTTCTCCGGCGATAGCAACAAATTACCCCAAATTCAATTTGGAAGGTAAGTTGAGCCCGCGGTTACTTCAATGATAATAATGATTTTAGTGCGACCCAGGATCCAGGCTAATTGTTGTTTTTCAGGTTCTGGTTGTATTTGTCACTATATATACTATTTATGTTATATACACTATATATGTTATAATGTATTTCTCCATCGATAACCCCCCTTCAAAGTATTTCTCGACGAGGTACATTCAATTTGCAATGTTAAGAAATATTTACAAACTTACAAAACTATTCGTCAACATTTTGTACAAATTTTCGAGACCAGTCTTCTTTAGTACATACATGCGTACATTATCGCATAAACAAATTCTACAAATTTCACTAAAATAGGCCATTTCTATTTGCAATAGCTTTAATCACAAAATCCCAAACTAATATATATTTATGCAATGAGTCAATGAGTAGAACTAGAATTATAAATTTTCTGTACCCGCCTAGGGTATTAGCTATTAGTGTTCTGTGTTCTGTACCACAGAACACTAATACCCTTAGGCGGGTTACTGCATTAAAAACTAATAAGTCAACATTTTCATGTCATTAATTAGCACTACCTGCTGCAAATCCATCCACGAAAAACAAAAAGGATAAAGATATGTTGATAAAAATGAAATATCATCTGAGAAAAATTAACAGGCTTCAAAAAACTGTAAAGCATCTAAAGAATGAAGAATTTCTCAAAGTATTGAGCAAAAATAACTCCGTAAATGAAATATTAAAATGTAAAATATCCCCCTCTTTTGCAAACTGCTCTTCAAAGAAAAACTGATATCCTGCAGAATAAATAAGATGTTACATGGATATATACGTAATTAACTAATTTTTAATTTTATGCATGTAAACAGTTCTGAACAGCTCTTAACTAAATATCGATTTAATAGTTAAGTAGTTATTATTATTTTTCGATAATACAGGTAGATGTCTAAGTGTCACAGCATTTACTTGCTAAATTCTATAAAAATACAAATGTATGTGATATCCATATCCCACAGTAAACTTAAAAGTTAGTTGCATAGCAATACGATTGTTTGTAGGGTGACTAATAAACTATCCGACATTAAACGATAAAAAGACTGTAAGGTATGATTCGCACCAGTAAAGTGATAGTTTCGAAAATACTATATTCGAAATCCAAAAGTGGCTCTATATGGCAAATATTTTAAAAAAAAACTTAAATTTAAATCCTACCTGCCTCACGGAAGCAAGGAATATCTGACCCACTCCGACTAAAACTCTCAGATGTTTCATCTTCACCACTTATCGGCAGGACTACGGGTACACTTTTACACACATCCATAGCCTCATCAGCGCTAGTCACTCCTTGGCTTCTTTTATCTCCTTATATAATGTCACCACTGAAGTGATTATGACTGTACATATAGAAAAAGTAGTTCCATGTAATATCTTATTTATTCTGCAGGATATCAATTTTTCTTTTAAGAGCAGATGCAGAGTACTCTTCTGCAAATTGCCGATTTTTCAAAATACAAAATCTCTTCATACAAATGTGAAATACGCTATTAAATAAGTAATCTATATTCATATCTTTATGTTCTTTAAAACTCAATAAATTGGGAGTTTCTCGATGAATGTCCATTCATCGAGAAACTCCCAATTTATTGAGTTTTTGAACAAAACTTTAATTGTCCCTTTTAATTTTTTTTTTATATGCTTCTGCCTCTAAAAAATCATAAATCATCGTAGCACTACTTTCAATACAGTTAATGAGGTTTTTAGAGGCGTATTTAAGGGACTTTTTTAGATCACTATATTCTTTAAAGTCAATAAAAGTATGTGATCTCTCTTGTGTCTCAGATACAAAAATTTTTTTACAAATTTCACATTTGTTGAGATTATTTTTTACTATAAACCCACAGACATAGGCACATGCTTGTATTTCGCCACTGCTTTCTTCCAAGCTACATTCAAATGTAGAATTTACACTTTCTTCTAACTCATCGGTTAAAATTGTGGCATAAGCAGTGTGTGTGTCTGTGGGTGGAGACAATAAAGATTTAAAATTTGTCAATATAACTTGATTTTGGTCTTCTTCACAATTTCCTGTCCCAATAAAAGATAAGTTGCTAAGGACAGCCGTTTTGAGACCCGCAACAAACTGCCCAGCAGTGGGATTTGAATTGCAGCCGCAATTGACCCGAATGCATCCAAAAAGATTTTCTAACGGGTCCTGCTGGAGCCTTCTTGTTTCCAAAATTTTATTGATTTATGTTTAGAACTGAGATTTCTCCAAATTCGTTCTATTCCATTGATGGACCATATCCAACCTTCTTGGGATGGAGGAGCTCGTAATGCATCCCAAAAACGTCATTTCTTTAAAAAAATTCTTCATTAAAGTGAAATGTGTGAGATGTGGTGTATTATTTGTCATGTTTGTCGAATATGGTTTCCCCCTTCTTAGGTCTGGTGAGCATGCGTTGACACAATCAAACAGCTTGTCCATATTTGCAATAACATTAGCTGTAGTGACAGCCTCTGAAGAGAGTTCCCCTGTAAACAACACATAATTTAAGATCTTACTATTAGGATTAAAGAAACATGATTTAAAGTATGTTACAAGACAACTCAAAAATAATATCACATATCAGTATCACACAATAAACAATAATTTGTACTTGGGAGAGCCTAGTTGCTTTTTAAGTTAATAATTATTTTAATGGGTGGACATATGTTTAAATATTATACTTTAAATTATAAATTTAATTTACCTTGTGAAATTTTAGCATACATTCCTGCAGCAACTGAGTGGCTTAACACTTGTGCAGCTAGCTTCACCTTCATCTTCTGCTTCGTATTTGGATTTAAATGTTCTTGTTTTAAGCAAGGTGCAAACACAAAATTGGGATTGGTGTTATCTGTTTCATAAAACTCCTTTATATGGCTCCATTTAGCAACACCTGTAAAAAAAATTTGTGTAAATATCCAGTAAATTGGAAATATGTATAATATTATGATTGTAATAAAACAAAATATCTTACCAAATCCAATTTGATCATTTGATGTTATATTTGTTGGATATTTAATGTCATATTTTAAAAACATATTTCTAAAGCATTTGAGCAAATGCGGAGTATCAAAAATGGTAACCACTTCTCGATTATTTAGCAGAATATATGGCTGTTCTACAGATGCTCCCAAGATACTTAAAGCTCTCTTATTCACACCATCCATATCACACACTGTAGCTGAAATATTAATTCCAGCATCAAAACAATGTTGCAGGACCTAGAATGATAAAAGGGTAAATTAATATGGTAAAAAAGTACTACTACATATATTGACATAATAACAAATAAAAGACCATAATGCTCACCTCCTTAGAATAATAATAAGCAATTGGTTGTTTCAGCTTTTTACGGATTCCGCCAATCATGAACACGAGGGCATGTGTTGCCATTTGTGGTGACCTGCTCTGCAGTGCATGGTCTTGATAACCCTCAATTATGTCCTCCTTTTTGTTGTAAAACAAATACTTTTTTATTGACATCTCATCAAACATAAGGATATACTCATTGTCTGAGGGAGTCTGTTGCTTTATTGTTTTTTTCAAAACATTAAAAATTTGGTCATTAATACCAACTTTCATGTGAAACTTGCTTAATAACGCTTTTAATGAACTAGGTGTTGGCAGGCAAATCATCCTTCTTAATAATTTGTAACACCTAGGTGACCTTTTATACAGTCTTAGGTGCTATTATTTTGGAGTCCATGTTCCATCTTCGACCTTATGATTTTTTTTTATAGTTTTGCCATTCTCCTTGCAAAAATAATGCAAAAGAGGGGGATATTTTACATTTTAATATTTCATTTACGGAATCATTTTTGCTCAATACTTTGAGAAATGCTTCATTCTTTAGATGCTTTACAGTTTTTTGAAGCCTGTTAATTTTTCTCAGATGATATTTCATTTTTATCAACATATCTTTATCCTTTTTGTTTTTCGTGGATGGATTTGCAGCAGCAACAGGGTTGATATTCTCAGTTACTTGAGGAATATCACTAGTTATGTCAGGAATGGTTTTATAATTTACATTCTCACACAAGGGTTGTATAAATTTTGACGGACCCGCAACAGGCTCAAATACATTTGAAACAGTTATAGTCTTCTGAATATTTTCAGACAGTGGTTGTTTATTAGTTGATGCAATATGTTGAATGACATTCCTTTGTTCCAAATTAAGGTCAGCTAATGTGATCTGAAAATTAGAGATTATCAAATCATTATTTATATCATGTATCCCAGCATTGGTCAACCAATCTCTAAATTTCAAACAGCCTTATAAATTTATAAACATTAAATACAACTTGTTTTTTTTAATGAATGTTGCTTTAACACCATTACCACCACCATCCTATTTTTAAGACACTATTTTAACAATTTCTTTTATTTGTAAATATATTCTGTAAGTAACTAAATTATAATCATGTCATTTAAACAACATTGACAGCTCGCGGAGCAGTGGCTAGAATTGAGTTGCGGCACTAAAGGTCACAGGTTCGAATGCTGCACGGAATAAGTATTTGTAAGGGGGTCAATTTAAAATTGGTTGCAGATAAAGTCGTCCCTGAGCAAAAATATTTTCTTCTCGGTGATATTAATTAAATTGTTATAATGTTATTGAATTTGTCAAATATGGGGCGAATTACTAAGCTTATTCTCAAGGAAATGAATTTTATTATTGATTTATCACCACTTTTATCAAGTAACAGAGTGGTCATTCTTGGTAACATAGTTGTTTTCCATACAAAAAAATTCTGTCCCATATGCAGTGCATCATGCGAAAATCATAATATCTTTTTATCAATTCAATGTAATTGTTATGTTTGAAAGCTAGTGTAATAAAGCAATCATAACACATTTAAAAACATACTTCATCCATATTAAATAAATTAATTGAAGCTTGTACGATTATTTTAAATTTTGTCCCAAGGTCTTCAAAATATTAGAGCTACATTCTGTTACTATAGTAAACCGGATAAATACCAAGAGATGGCGCTATCCATTCTTTGGCAATTGTTTCATCATAAATATCTACTGTTCTATCCGTACGGTTTGCGGCGGTTGGGGCGCGGGTACACGATTCATTTATCCGATGGCTGCGGTGTGAGGCTCGTGGTTTTATTCTGTATGTACTCTGTTACCGGTGTTTTCGCGTAAGTATTCAGATATTTGCGTATAGTTTTATATTATTGAAGTAGCTCTAGTGTAAGATATATCGAATGTGCTTTTCTTTGTACATAATAATCTTTCATTTCTAAAAAAAATGTCACTAAAGTTAAATTTACCATTCTGTTACTGCACAACTATGTTACTAGCTACTGGTAACAGAGTTGTAGAGAGGTAACAGAGTTGTTATTACTGAGCTGTTACAAGCCATCGTTGGCGTCTGTATATCCGTATCTCTGCTTCTATGTTAGTAGGAATCAATATTATATAATAGCTA